CAAAAAAAACAAAACAATAATATTAACTCATGAACTTTTACGAATTATCTGTATCAACAAGAGCTATGATATGGCTAAGTAATCACGAGGACACCATTCTTGCAACAACAGCCTTTTGAATGTCAAGCTCTTGCCAATCTTTGGATGGCTTGCTGATGCATATGTATTTTGATGGAAGTCCATTTGAATAAACATGATACATGAATGGTGTCACGCAACTGAATTTTCTATTACTAGTATTCTCCAGCTTAGAAGTGCAACAACAATGTTAGGTCCATGAGAAAGTAACTATTGATGGAAGCACTGAATGATCTAGCTAACAACCGAAATTCATGAAATTACACATGTTTCTTAAGCAAGAAAATGTCATATGCTATAATAACAGAGAAATTTGTGTATATAGCTAATTATGTTGACAAGATGAATGGCCATCTAAACTACCGCAAACTTACAATTTTGTTTTATCTGTGAATGAACATTAGTGAAAAAGAAAGAGAAAGCTAACTATCACCAACCTTATTGTAGGTTCTCGAACTTTGGCCTTTGTTTGAGAAGATCCATTTGCAAGCCACTGTTGTCTAGTTTGATTCCAGAGGTTCAATCCTAGCCAAGGAAAAAAAGAACATACACAACACTTTTTAAAGGAAAACAACACCACAAAGAACAAGAATGAGTTTAGACATAGCAGAGAACCATGATGTAAAATAAAATAAAAGCAATCTGAAAGTCAGAAGAAATAACATGTCAAGATGCAGGAAAATTAAACTCACCAGTATTAACAAATTCATTGGGGTTGCTACTACTTGCAGTGTTGTTAGTGAAGCTAATAGAAGACACGCTTCTTTGTGACTGCATTGTGCTGTTATCCATCTCGCAGGTGCTCGTGCTCCAGAAATCGTCTGATACGCTTGGCTTCTTCACTAAACGACCTTGTATCCTTAAACCTTTAGATGGTTCATCCACTGCAACTATAAGCGGTGGTGGTTTATTGCAGCTCCCAAAACAACCTCTGTACTGTTTCAAAACCCACAGACACAAAAAAAAAACGCCAGTGAGAAAGAGTTTCATCAGAAATGCAGAATAGAATACGAGTGGATAGTATACATGAGATTTCAAGTCACAATACTTATCCTCTAGAGTAAAGTTTCAATCATGAGACAAAAAATAACAAAATTAAAACTTGAGAGATGCTTTGAATCCATATTCTTTTGCTTAAAATGCAAGCAACAACCATATACATATGCACAGTTTCCATAAATATAGATAGCAGTAGCTAACCTAACCTAACCTACAAATACAAGGAAACAATATAGCCACAAGATCTCAAAAAATGATGGGTCAAGATATTAGATATGAATAAAGTTTTCAACTTTACTCAATCTTCAGAGGAAGATTCATCTTCCTTCCTCAGTCACATACATCAAAAAAGACAAAAGCTTTAGATCCAGACTCACCCCATGCAACCAAATAACTGGTAGATCCAAGAAGGAATATATTCACGGATATGCATCTACAGCAACCAAAGAAGCGACCTTCTAATCAAGATCCTAATCCCGGGCAGCAGAAGTCTCACAATCCTGCAATTTTAAATATTCCAAGAAATCAAGAACTGAATCGAAATAAACACCAACTATGTTCATTTTCTTCAAAATACGGAAAACAACCTCAAAAATGGCATATTCGGGGGAAATTGAGATAAGGGTTTTGTTCAGCCACCTCCCCAGCAGCTTGATTTGATTACAGAACAGAAGTGTTTCTTCTTCTTCTTCGTTCTTTATTCCACTTTTTGTTCTCCAACTCGTGTTCTGCGTGTGTGGTGGTTCTGCGAGGAATAGAAAAATTCTGTTTTTTCTTTTCACAAATAGATTTTTCAGTTATTCTTTACAACTGTGCTTCTATAATAAATAAATAATTTTTATGTTACATTTTTTTTTGAGAAAAACCTACCTACCACTTAAAAGTTAAAATCAATCAACCAGCTCTTAAATATGATGTTAAGTCACATCCCCCTATACATTAAAAGAGAATTTCTTTTTTGGTTGCTTTTTTTAGAATTTCTTTTTTGATTTATTTTTATCACCGACAACCAAATAGGAAAGCAACACTAATTACTAACCTCATTACATATTACTTGCACAAGAATATTAATTAATCACTACAAGAAAACGCTTGATTACCGACCAACAGTTACGACCACGAAATGGTGGTCGTAATTTTACGTTTGTATTACGACCAGTCAACAACCAAAAAGATATTGGTCGTAAAACCGAAGTAAATTTGGGACCACATATATTGGTCGTAAAGCAGAAGTGACTTAACCTCCAATTTACGACCAAAAGAAAATGTGGTCGTAAAGTAGAAGTTTTTCGACTATGGAATTACGACCAAATATTTAGCTTCGCATTAACTACCAAATTACATGCACGTGGTAGTTTATTCGAAGTAACAAAATTTTGGTCGTAAATAGGGGGTAATATTCCCCACTTACCATTTCGAAATTTGCCTATAAATACGATCTCATATTCCATTTTTTTAGATACACCAAAAAAAAAAATAAACAAGATTGTCAAAAAAAAAAAAACGAAACAAGATAGAGAAAAAAATGTCTCGAGATATTTATGAGCTTCGAAGTTGGATGTATACACATAAAGATTCTGAGGAAAGAGTGACATCGGAGTTCCTCAACGGGGCAGAAATATTCATGTACCAGGCCGGAAACACGTCTCTCACGAAGGAAACGGGTAAAATGTTCTGTCCATGTGTTAAGTGCAAGAATACAAAATTCGCTCTTAGTGAAACGGTTTGGAAGCATATAATTAATAGAGGATTTACTCCACATTACTACATTTGGTTTCATCATGGAGAAGGTGATAGTATGAATGAAGCTAGTAGTAGTTATCAGTTTGAAAATAATCGTAATAGAGAACAACATTTACCTTCGGAGGATCAGGTGGTAGATCATGATAGGATGCATGAAATGGTTACTGATGCATTTCGTGAAACAAATCCAGTAATTGCTGCAGAAGTAGAAAATGTAGAGGTGGAAGTAGAAAATGTAGAGGGACCTAACTTGGAAGCCAAAAGATTTTATGACATGTTAGCCGCTGCTAATCAGCCAATTTATGAAGGTTGTAGAGATGGTCTTTCTAAGTTATCATTGGCAGCTAGGATGATGAATATCAAAACTGATTATAACTTACCTAAAGTTTGTATGGATGCATGGGCGGAGTTGTTTAAAGAGTATTTGCCTGAAGATAATGTGAGTGCTGAATCTTATTATGAGATTCAGAAACTGGTTCATAGTCTTGGTTTACCTTCAGAGATGATAGATGTCTGTATAGACAACTGTATGATCTTCTGGAGGAAAGATGCAGAGTTGTTGGAGTGTCGATTTTGTAAAAAGCCACGATATAAACCGCAAGGACGTGGACGAACTAGGGTACCGTACCAGCGGATGTGGTACTTA